ATTTTTTAAAATAATGACCATTGCGCCTTTGATAGGTATATAAATTGTATGAGGCAAGCATTTTAATTCAGTTAAACCTCACGAAAAATGTTCTTTATACCTCTTTAAGTTCATGCGCTATTCGCAAGTAATCTCAGTTTTTATGAAGCAAAAATTTTCGTTTGATTAGTGGAAAATTTAGTTAGCAGTTGGTGTGGTAAGTCTAAAATAGGCAAAGACTCATGTTTATCTTATCACCTGATTTAGTAACTTAACAGGCAAAATAATAAAATAAAGGAAATCAAAACCCATTTATAACATAACATCACGCCTTTTACCCCCGAAGGGGTCTGTAGTGAAAAGTAGGTGTCTTTGGGTATATGGGGTAGACCCCATACACCCACAGACACCCACTTTTCACTATTAATGTTACGAGTCCCACGTAATAGGGGGTGAGCCTATTGCCATATACCTACCGGGCACAATTCAGAATCCGTGCTACTACTGAGAATTAAAAACCCAGTAATACTTTGCCTGACCCGGGAATCGAACCCGAGACCGGCAGTCGCACTTGCGACCACTCGGACTGCTATTAATTTACCGTAAGTAAATAAAACATCACTATAAAGAGATCTATATTTTTTGTGTAAAATTAAAAAACATTCAAATATTCAAATTAATTAATATACATATATAAGAGCAATTTTTGGGCTTCCAATAGTAGGTCGAGTAGTAATTTCATACATAAACAAGTATATTTCTGTATTGTGGTTTGGAAAATCAGTAAATACGTAGAATATAATTATGATAATAATATCGAATTATTTATATCTACTGTTTCTTATGACTGACAGGATAATTTGTAACCTGTCGGTTTTAACAAGGAATCAAGTTAATGATTCCTGTTCGATTATTATTAATCATTTTGCTACCAATAAATAACTGTTGAAGTAAAATCCTTCACCAAAGTGGGTCACCGGCGTGTGACTCTCATGGCGTTTAATGAGTTAAGTCTTCTTTTTTTTAATTAATTTTTTTCTCAAGTTATATTTATAACCTACCTTTGACTGCACCTCAAAAATTCTTCTACTTTATAGTACCTAATAGTAAAACTTTTATGTTTTTTTATGGTAAAACATGATGGTAAGCGATCACCGCCGCTCATGGATATATAATTAGTCTTTCTCAATGAACTAGGGAGATAACTTTAAGTAGACGCTTAACAATTAGACGTACTTTAATGTCAATAATGACGTAGAACTTAATATTATTAATATTAAGGTCTATAATAATATTATAACTTTCCTAAAATATAAATATTATGATTTTCGGCTTACAAACGTAATTAGGTATATAAAGAGAAACTCGACTAGTTTCAAGCCATACTAGAGGCTCATATTCATGAGTAGCCTTCCGCGACTGACGATGCGGCGCCTGTCGCGTTGCTACTGATGCTGCCTCTAGCATAGCGTGAAACTAGTCGAGTTCTTCGTCAAATAATGAAATGAGTAAGCCAAAAAATATGGTTATTAACATTAAAATCATGTTTTCTGTTTGCCCTCGTGTTCAGTATGGTACAAATTAACATCAATCGAGACAAAATTATGTATTTTGCCAACGGTATTTAGAAATGAACTGAACGTGTATTAATTAAGAACTATTCAGTCCAAAGGTAATAATTCAGTACGGCGGCGGGTTAGGGATTGAAACGTGATACGATTTATTCATCTATCATGCTGTGAATTGGAAATTCATACGTTGATGTCATCGGCCTGTTAGCTATCGGCAAGGGAACTTCTGATTAGGGTTTATGTGAATTTGTTCCTAATATAAATGGATAATAATTCTATGATGGATCAGAGTTCTATTAAAACAATATTTACTCTATAAACCTTAATAATTACATGTTTGTAAATTTAAGCGTGGGAGAGCCATGCATCAGCACGAATGGGCCGGCTCGACAGGAGTGATACCACGGCCTCACGGAAAACCGACGTGAAAACACTTGTAACAATAACCTCACTCACACGACGTGTTTCGTCGTGTGACTGAGGCGAGTCGTTACCGGAGGCCCAATTACCCCCCCCCCCCCTAAATCCCCGACGATCCTCAAACTTCTAATCCCCAAAAGGCCGGTAACGCATTTGTAACGCCTCTGGTGTTCCAGGCGTCCATGGGCGACGCCGATTTCTTACCATCAGGTGACTTGTCCGCTCGTTTACCGGATAATGCCATAAAAAAACGGCAAGTTTATAAGTAAAGACGTATTATGTAGGTACGTAACGTATACAAAAAGGCTAAACATAGTATGACATACTCTCTTCACAATTTCCTAGTGTAAACAATCCCAAGTCAACAGTCAAGAGTAGTTCACAAAACAACGAGGTAAATATTCATTTAAATTAGTAAAAGCAATCCTTTGTACAGCTAACACAGAAGTTTCGTGTACCTATCAACTAAATCTCTAACTAAAAAGTATATGCAGCTAAAAAAAATTGGACGAACAATAAAATGCTTGAAGCTTTTAGTGTGGTTTTAGGCAGAGGAAACTCAATATGGTACCGTTAAAGAAAAATATATGGCACCATAAAAATATACCTAAATATACGAAAGTGCACTTTCAAAGCTAAAAGTCATCGCTCACCTAACAACAACTGCTCCAGCATGGCTCCGCCTCTGCTCCAACCCAGCAATGGCATTGTCATTTAATTATGAACTTTAAGTCGTATGTCGACGCTGAAGGCGCGCTTGCAACCTTTTTGTATTGTTTCCAAAGCAAAATACGCCTTGCCGGATCCGTGCTTGTTGGCTGTGCCTTAAACTACAGTACAAAACGGTGCACTTAGAAAGAAAAAACATTTATTCAGCACCAGGCACGATGCAGCATAAAAAAAATACAAAAATGTGGGAAGTGAGTGGAAATAAAAGAACATTAAGTTAAAACAATTTATTATAGGTATGTTTAAATTTGCAAGTATACCATTTGCAAGTTAGGTATGTGTAACATAAAAACAACTGGGCGTCTTCTTCGATAAATAAATACTTTCCGTGTCATTGAAGTTAATAACAGTTCATCCGATCGGAGACACATTTATGAGACAAAAACCAATTGGTTCAGCAAAATGGTGCCTGGACCACAATGCGTGTTCGGATCAATGACAAGGTCGCAAGATAGCACACGTGATCAATATTCGATACGAGACCTATGAATGACGACTGGGTATTTGCTACCGTAAAGGGTGTCGAAAATTTTGCATGATTAGATTCGACATGACTGCCTCGTTGTCGTCGAGTGGTCGCAAGTGCGACTCGGCTAGGGGACTTCTTGGGTTCGATTCCCGGGTCGGGTAAAGTTTTATTTGGTTTTAATAAAATCTCAGTAGTACCACGGAGTCTGGAATTGTGCTCGATATATGGCAATAGGCTCACCCCCTATTACATGTAAATGGTGAAAAGTGGGTGTTACATTGTACAGTGGCATTAAGTGCCGTAAAGTGCACTTCTGCGTACTCCTTCGGGGATAAAAAGGTGTGATGTTATGTTATGTTACTCACCACACAACTGGCATAAATCGATTCAGTTACTACTTAGTTATAGATATCATGAAATACGTCTAATAAATCCTACAATAACATATAATTTTCAAGCACAACTTTTGATGAACAAAATCTAATACAATTAGTTAAACCATGTCAAACGCACTGACTACACTGCTCTACAGTTGGCTCTCCGAATTCAGTGCACTCACTTACACATAGGAGCGGAAGCATGGACAGAAAACAAAGGGACCAAAACTAAACAGTCACTTTGTGTTCATACATACCTAAGTATGTTACCCATCTATATGTACGGGGTTTAATTAAATAATGTAGCGATCTGGTAATGGTCGAGAGAGAGCAGCGGACGTTTTGTGGTCAAGTCAAACACTTTGTAGTTTTTTTGTTTGTTTAGTAAGGTATTGTTATATAATGCATGTTTTATGAGCAAGTCTTTTAATAGTGAATTGTTCACGTGATTTTGTGAAAACAAGATATAACAGCCTTAGTACGAGTTTGTTTTACGTTTAAAGTAATCGTAACGAGTACGCGTTCGGCGCTCTGATTGGTTGCTTCATTGGCGCCGGCCAATCAGAGTGCTGAACGCGTACTCCTTTCGAATATTTTTAACGTGAAACAAACTTGTACTAAGGCCTCTGTTCAGTGTAAAGTGAAACACTACATGTAGATAATGTAATATCTAACCGTTCGGAGTAGAAATGAATTAATATAAAACCAATACCTATTTTAGTTTTATTTTGGAAAAGGTAACAGCTAAAGCTTACAGAATAATAAATTCTGTGTGCGTCAATTTATGTGACTTAGGCTTAGGATAGAAAAATCGGCCGATTTTTCTATCATTAGTTAATTATTAACTGTAGAATAAAATTGACAGTTGACAGTGTTCAGTATGGAAAAATTGACAAATATTGAAAGTTATTCCACAGTTAAAATTTATATGAACATTGAAAAATTGGCACTAACTAAGATAGGTAGATAGGTATTTGTTATTGAAAACTTAAGACGATATCCAGAAAAGAGTATTTAAAAGAAAGTCGTGTTTGTTACACTATTTAATACTCGTGTACGGTTAGATCAATTTGACTGAAAAGGAGGAGGAGCTTTGGAGACGGACATAATACATTTTTCATCCAAGGATTTCCTAGAAATTCTACAGGAACGGTTTGAAAACTGGATTGCGAGTAAAATAAGCGTATATTTCAATTGATTCAAATTCGATAATTATAATAGAAAATTCTTCAGTCATTATATAGACTGTACGATTGGTGCAATGGTCAAGTTCGATTCCCGCACGGTATTCCACAGATTATTGTTCCGGATCTGGGTATGATGTGTATGTGAACTTGTATGTTTGTAAACGCACCCACGACAAAGGAGAAAATCCTAGTGTGGGGACAACCTTTAAAAAAAAATATGCTCAAAATGAAATCGGTTAAAAACTATAATGGTGTGCTAATTAAATACCTGTGCGTCCAGTGTGGCTGCCCCTGATTACGCAGGCAGTAGCATCCTGGCTCGAGCTGACTGGAGGAGGTGTCGCCTGTTTACATTCCGACTTCTCAGAGAAGCAGGCCCTGAAACATTCATGAGCATTAACACATTGGTAGCAATAAAATCCTATGGACCGGCAAGGCGATCATGGTTGAATACGGAGGCTTCCTTGATTGAAATTGCGTTTTATTCTTGTGGTAGTAGTAGGGATGTAGTAGTGTTTTTAATGTCTTATATCTAATCTGTGTAGGTATAAAATACCTCTTTACTATCTATCTGCTTAACTAATAATGTTGAAATTCTTCAATAACTTCAATGTCTTCAATATTATAATTGGGTACTTTCTTTTATCAAAATTATATTATTACGACTGTTCAATACAATAACATTAAAAAATAATAATCGCACTCATTCATCAATTGATTTTATGACCAACTTAATTTTAGTATATTTCCAGCAATTTTTAAAGAAATGAGTATGTTGTTTGACGATAAAACGTGACATCACAATACACAAACTCGTACAAAAATCATAGAAAACTCTCGTTTTTGACAGTTCAAAAAAATTATTGAATTTAACTAGTTGGCAAGTACCCAATTGGATGTTGAAAGAAGGATTTAAACTAAGTACCTACGCGTCATGAGAAGCCCGGGTGGAAATTAGTTTTCCAAATACAAAACATTTAATAATAAAATGGCTAGACGATATTCAATTTAATATACAATATCTATTGAGAATAACCACAAAGAGATTTTAATAATTTATCAAATTAAATTGTAGTCGGCATCTTTTCAAGTAATTAATTTTGGAAGACCACACCCAAATAGTACATTTTGATTAAAGTAATAACCGTCATTGGTGTGTAGATAAAAATAGACCACATAACTTATTTAATGTAGGAACTAATTAATGGAATTATAACATAAGATCACCTCTTTTTATCATCGAAGGATTAATAAAATCGTCTGTCGCGAAATGCTACTCATGAATATGAGCCTCTAGTATGGCTTGAAACTAGTCAAGTTTCTCATTCAATAATTACGTTTGTAAGCCGAAAATCATATCATCATAACATAACATCACGCCTTTTATCCCTGAAGGGGTAAGCAGAGGTGTACATTTACTGCGAGGGCCGCCCTGAGGACACGGTGGAACACACTAGCGGAATGCCATGCAACCCAAATAGGGGGATACCTAATTAGATTATTTCCGACAGTAAAATTGTCGTAGCAAAGATATTGTAATATTGCTTCTGGAATATTGAAAAGGTTCTACATACGTAACTCAAATTTGCGGTGAAAATTGTCAATTTGATTTCGAAAAGTGAGGAAATTGCGTATTAACAAAAGTATTTTGAAACAAACTGTTCTACAATTACAATTTAAGATCTAGAAATCACAATTATTATCTTTTCAAGCCCTACATAATTATTTAGTGCACATTTATAACATATTTAAAATGTTAAAATGTTTCCATCACAATCTAGGGTATTTTTTTTAAGGGGGGAAAATCATCGAATGACTGCTCCCGCCTGGGTGAGGCGGGAGGGAGTGTCAGACTCTTACTGACTAAAAACCACCCCGTTCCTTCTCCTGCATGTCGAGTCGGAGCCCAGGTTACCCGTTAGGTTCTCCGCGACTCCGAATCGGCATCGGCCGTATAGGGCCCCATCTGTGGTGGTCTGATGGCTCTTTGAGGCGCGCGCGGAACGCGACGCGCCGTACGCTCGGGTATGTTTCTGGTCGGACGGGGAGCCACCCATGCTCGCCGTCCGCAGGCCCGCGCTTACGGTGGCCGGAGATCGTTCCGCGATCCCTGACGCCCGGTGTGTCCTTCGCTATGGCTGGGTTGCGAGGAGGCAGCACTTCGCTGCCTCACGCGTCCCGCCTCCTACAGTGGAGGGTATAGGAATATAATAGTCATAGGAAGCAATGAAGGAGACGTGTTGTCAATATCAATAACTTTATTTAAGCGTCTTATTTATCTACTAACTTACGTTACTAATGAGCCGAGGTATCATGTGTATATCACTGCAATCGTACAACGGGAAAAATACCAGATCTAAGCTATTACTGAGAATCTCGACATGGGAAATGACAATAATACTTTGCACGAGCCGATCCTGTGACCTTGAACACAATAATCGCTTTAGAGTGTACTCAATAAACATTGTAATCGGTGATTGTATGAAGAACGTGATGGATATTTGTTGGGCTTACTGATATTTTGATAACAAATATTCTAACTACAGAATTTTTGCAACAAATAAACGTGTGCTTAACATATGTAGTTAAAAAGAAATCACGACCGACGCGGTCGCTGTAAAAAATAAATCAGGTATCGATCTTACGTTAAACTTTATACAAAAATAAACCCTAAATCGAACGATATCCTGACCAAAAAAAGATTGGATCGATTTCATATGACATACTAGAAAAATATAAGACACTTGACATGGCACGTGTCTGAATTATTTACAAAAAAGCCCAGACAACTTATCCAGGCTGGTTTTCAGGCAATAAAACGAAATTGGCTTTGGGAAGTTACGATATACTTAGCACCTGAGCCGAGAAATTTACCGTCTCTCGTCAAAATACTTTTATCATGATCGAAAATAAAACGACTGAACTGAACACTCGTTAAACATTACAACAGACAATATACACAACAACATTATTCAGAGTGTTTAACACAGTTTAACGAAAAATATTTAATGTGGATTTCAAAATGGAGTTAAGATACCCATAATGACTGCACGGTTGGTGCGGTGGCTGGGCAACCGGCTGCCGTGCAACGTGTCGCGGGTTCGATTCCCGCACGGAACTACACTTTGTGTGATCCACAAATTGTTGTTCCGGGTCTGGGCGTCATTGTGTATGTAAACTTGTATGTTTGTAAACGCACCCACGACACAGGAGAAAATGCTAGTGTGGGGCAACGTTTTCTTAAAAAAAAAAAAAAATTATGTAAAAAAGTGCAATGTACCTAATATTCTGATAGTTGAATGACCTGTAAAATTAAATCATAGGTTAATTTTTGCGTTACAATCATGTAGCTTCGCAGTGACAATTTTAAATATCCTGTCTAGTCGAATATCTTCAAAGATTTCGTTTCCTTGATGATCAGCAAGACACGTATAGGATCCGAAAATATCCTAGCTGTAAACACCAATAGGGATAATGATGTAGTATAAAAATTAAAAATGTATTAAATTGTTCATAACATTGTTATGTTATGTTGTTATGAACAATATTTAATCTATTCATAAGGTAATAAAAATATTAAAACAATACCTAGGTAAAACTACATCATTTCAAAAATAATAATAATATCTTCGAAAGTATTTATTTGTTTCCGTAAGAAAGGAAAAATATGTGTATAATTTTGAAATAATCAACTAGACGAAAAATAAAATAAAAGATTGTCCCCATTGTCAGTGCAGTTAACAAATAAACATTATTAGGTAGTTCTATAACCAACCGAGTATTTAGAAAAACACTACCTCGATACCAAAGCTAAAAAAATGTAACAGAGAAAAAATATGTTCTCATGAGAGAAATACACGCCGTCACATCATAATATTTGCACAAGGAACCTTCTCCTCCTGATCCTTGCGGAGGTATAAAATACTCGAAAAGGTTTCTTTGCCTAGCTTTATCTGTATAAATTTAATTTGTTTTTCATGAGATTACACAGCTACGGACATGAATACAAAAGTTTTTGTGCACGTTCAACTGGAATACAATATGTGATACTTGATACATTGCTTTTATATTTTCTGGTCACTTTTTGTTGTGCAAGGTGTAGTTTTGAAACCGTGTCATTTCTCGGGGGCATGTCACAGAAGTCATAAAGGTTCAATGTAAGAGAAAATTTCGGGCCAGTAGTTAAAAATACGGCTATAATAATTCGTTTAAGTTGACAGTATTTCAGAATAAGCGCCAGAAATGTTTCTTATTGGAGTTTTATGGAATTAGGAATAATATCAATTACGTGTTTGAGTTTGTGTGTGTCAAGCCGCGTTATAAAGCTAGTTACAAGATGGCGGTGTGTAATTCGCACTTACGGATTTCCGTAATTTACAGAAAAATGAAAAATATTTACCTACAATTTTTTTTATTGGTTCGGGCTCAGAATCGATAGCCGAATTACCTCCTAGAAAATGACGTGGCTTTAAAACAACACCTTGTATATGGAAAGTTAGAAGAGAAAAAATCTGTTCCATTGGTGCTTTGTGGATAAAAGATCTCACTATAATGCCCACTTTCTTCCTTTTCTTTTTTTTTTACAAGATGATGTGTTTTGTGTACTCGTATTATTTTCCTTCTAATTATTTGTCGTTGCTTCCGTCGGTGTGTCGCTGCAAGTGTCATGATTTTATTGTTTTTTAATTTTATATTATGTAAATATAAATATATTTGGTGGGTCATGCCTAATGACAAATAAGTTATACTTTCTTTCATAATGTCAAACGACCTTAAAACAAAACGTCATATCTTTTTTTGGACGGTAATCAATTTTTTTAATAATACTGTTTGAAATGTCTGCCTCTGCCAAAATGGTTATACGAAATTCAGTTTCTATTTTTATCAGCATCTTCAATTTGAAGATCTCTATTATTACTCTGAAGTTTCTTGTTAGAAATTCAGTTCTAGTACATGAAGTCTGAATGTCACTAACAGTCTTACTAACAATAAACAATGAATCCTAAGTAATGCCAATGTACAGGACACAGTAGAATCTAGAATAGTGAGGGCTTAATCTAGCTCTTTGTGAGAATTAGTCTAATTGTATAAGATGAAACGATGAAGAGGTACGTAGAGACGTAAGTGCGTACTCACTTTGATGAATTACACATATCTCTGTAGTATTAGACGGAGTGATGGATTTTGATAAATACCTATGTTCTGAAGTGGTCTCAACACCTAGATTAAGGTTATATATGGCATGCTTCATATGTGTGACACCTATCTTATATAAGGTATACTCCACACACATGTACTTACTAAGTATATTTAGACAGCAGTGACTGGTGCCTATGCAAAACATCGTGAGGAAACCTGGGCTTATAATTTCTTGTTAT